CTCGAACGACCCGCGGCCCGGTGCGCGTACAGGACCAGGGGTAGGCAGCGGCCGCAACCCAGACGAATGAATGTGAGTGGTGGGAGCGGTCGGGGGGGTGTCAGTTGTGAGGAGCGACTCGGACTTGCCTTCTTGTTGGAAGAGGTACTGGAAGAGCTCTGTAAGAGCTCCTGGGTTGAGGCCGACTCGGGTCTTCCGTGATCTGGGGCATCTTCAAGTTGCACTCCAAACCCGGCCGTCTTCCGAGTCGTGACATCGCGATAGCCTGAGTTTGATGCTGCAAGGGCGGGATACGGTGTACTTGCCGTCGCTTGTTCTCGCTCCTGTCGCCGGTGCCGGGAATGCAACCAAAAGAGAACTGCCCCGATTCCCGCGAGAAGCAACAGCGCGCCGACTATTACTCCTATGATTAGCGCCAGATTAAGGGGGGCGGGTGTGGCGATGCGCTCGGTCGTCGTCGCCGTGGTCATAGCCGTGACGGTGGGGCCATTGGACGGCGGTGGTAGTAGGGATGGAGAGCCGGGACTACTAGCACTAGCATGTCCAAGCGAACCAACGGAGGCTGAATGAAAGAATGAGCCATTGGTCTGTCGTCAAGTCGAACTAGAAAGACATACTGTCGGGCGGCGCGCCAGGGCCGGAGGTAGACAGCGTGCCCCGTGTTGCTGAGCCGGGCGGCGCAGTGCTTGCAGGAGACTGGGGAGTATCACCGGTCGGCGTTTTCGGAGGAGCAGCGCCGGGAGCGGAAGTTGACCGGGGGGTGACTGTCGTAGGGGGGCCTGATTAGCGACAGCAGTGTAAGAGGATGTTGTGATAGGTACAAAGCACAACACGCACCCGTGTGTGGCGGCTGCGTGCCAATCCCGGTGATTATGGAAGTTATTGGGTCGAGGACCTTTGTCTCCTCTGGTGTGCCCGTTGCCTGGCCGCCCAGAACGCTTCCGAGCGCGGGTCCGGGAGCCCCGAAGGCCCCTGGGCGCACTGACACAGAGGCGGGAGACGCCGAGCGAGAGAAGGACGGGGAGAGGGAGCGGGAGGCGGACATCGGGTTGGGTATATGTGCCAGTTCAGAGGAGAGAGAGAGAAAGGGTAAAGGACGGAGATCAGCCTCGACGACGAAGCCTGTTGCGATTCGCAATTGATACGTTCCGCCCGTCCATGGCCATTTGCATGCGTGCGTTGCGGTGGGAGCCATCCGTCAGCCCCCCGAATCTGATCGTAGCGCCTTCCGTGCGGGCTGTCGTTCAGCCCAGTTCGCTAACCCAGCGGCCAGAGGTGACAATGGTAGAGTGCTATGGAGCGTTTGCGCTTGCGGCTTAAGACCGTAAGACGTCCGAGTCGTGCCGAGCATAAATCGCAGCATTGTCGCAGCATGCCGCCAACGTTTGTCACTGGCTGCTTCAAGTCTGTTGACAATGATGCGCCTAAGTATAGCGCACTAAGCATTTACCATTCCTCCGAAGCCACATTCGAGTTTGCCATCGCCATCGCAGCGGGTCCCAACTGTCAGTGCCAGGCAGCGCGAGGCACCGGTGCTTCTGCATCCCTAGACTGTCTCGACTTTCCACGGACCAGCTTTGGGGTGCCTGAAGCTACGGGAGATGGCTCTGGTGGGGAGACAATGGGGGAAAAAAGGAAGGCGAAAAAATTCTCATGAGTCACGGGTGACGACAGCTGCCATCAGCGAGCCCGGCCCGGGAAAGGCCCGGGTTGACCACTTTGTGTCAAAAGCTACCGTTTAAATAGCAGTTTTATCATACAGAGAATAGATGGGGATTTACTCTTATCTTGATCCTATAGCTTTCCCAAGAGGGCAATTTCTAAATTAGCGTAGTGATTGCATCTTTCAGTTCAAACTTCATCGGCTATATGGTGGCGGGGTCTCAAACAAGCAGCATGATGGTGCCATAGCGGATGTTCCTACGCTGCTATCTTAGTGAATTATTTGTGATCGAAAAAAAAAAAAACAGTTAAATTGGGACATATTTCTAGATAAATGCTCAGTACAGTCGAGTTCCTCATATGGAATAATATTGGTGGAAACCCTACCCCTATTCCATATTGCGGATATTCCATATGAAATTTATCTTGATTTTATTTATTGTATTTTTATTTTTTATTTTCATTTTCTGTTAGTTTTCGCATGCTCAGCATATAAACATGATCTGTGTACATAGTAGATTATGATGGAATGTTTCTCTGAGTCTCTCTAGCCTTTGGTTTAAGCATAATCACCTTTCTAGAGAGTGTTGTTTACTCAATGTAGTATAGATAATAATTGGTGGGATTAAAGATGGCTAGAAGATGTCATACATTTGTATTTATGGTCATAATTTTGGTGCTTTAACTGCTTCTCCACCCAAATTTGGATGGAATAATTGCACAATCAGGCCATTCCATATTCCAGAACACAAGTTGTGGAATATTTACTTCTCCCAAGGCTGTGGAAGGCCAAAACTCATTCCATATTGAGGATATTCCGCATGGGGTGATTCCATATGAGGAACTCGACTGTATTTTGCTTTGTTGTGACTGTGCCTATTGGCATTCACACAACATTGTGCATCACAGAACCATTTGAGCTTGGTGGCTCGGAGAGACCCACACAGCAGAGATGATACTGCACTAGAGTCAGCTGTGATGAACCAGGAAGAAAATCAGTACCTGTGCGCCACATGCTGGACCAAGGCACTGAATCTGTAAGGGCAACCCTGGAGGCCTGAGATCAAGGTCCTAGCAGGAAGGATCCAAAGAGAAGAAACTCTAAGGGTCCGCCTGCTAGGTAGCTGACTATATACTACTTGTCTATAGCTGCCGCTGTCGGGCACAGAAGGCTTGGGCGGCGTTGCAGGCAAGGTCCCAGGGTGACCATTGGGAGGGCATTGACGGATCAGTGATTGTGCGGGCGAGATGCAGGGCCGGACTGGAGACGCTATTGGAATCGGACCAGAATCGGATCAGAATCGGACGCGTCTCCAAGGGGCCGAAAGGGAGGTTCCTCTGACACATATAGTTTATTTATGCCCATTTGTATCATAATGTGTACGCAAACCTCATAGCAATATAATTGTGGCTTGAACTTAAATTATAGCTACTGGAGAGGAATGTGTCTTGACAGCTGGGACAGAATATACTCCCTCTTGGCCCTGAATATCATGCTGATTGATAAGAGCACAACTTCATGAAGGGAATAGCTAGACTAACCTGAGAATACTGAGTAAGGCCTCTGCTTTGTATTGTCAACATGTGAAGGGTGGTAACAGGCTGATCAAGGTCATGACGGAGTGAGCTTCGGAGATTGAGGCTGTGCTATTTTATGAGGAACAATATCAATCAGACATGGGAGAGCCAGACTTGACCAGGAGAGCATTGGCATATAGTGGCCCATATAAGATATAGGTTACCTGGAAGAGTGTCAGTTCCATGCCCATCATATATCATCTACCATACCACAAATCCAAAGGAATTGATTGAGATTGCAGCCTGGTAAATATCAGATGTATCTTAATGTAAAAAGGAAATGCTGAATACTGCAGCCAATGTTGCAAAGGCAAACAGGCTATACCATGTGAGATAATACAAAAAAAAATGATATACTATCTACCTTGTGAGCAAACCAGTAGCAACTGTATATTGCATAATCTTTTTCAGAATTCTCTGAGTTCGTCTGGAAATTTCACTTAATCAATATTTCCCCAAAAAATAATAAGCTTTCCTGGGTGGCCCCCTTAGGTCTTCTCCAACAGGTAGCCTTTGCCCCTTTGCTATATAAAAGACAAGTGCTGCTGCCAGCAATAGGTCAACTGTAAATAAATAGGTTCAGTTCAAACCAATCAGAAATGCTATATTATCATACCTGCAGCCAGTAATGCAGAACTTACTAAGATTTTAGTGTGCTCTGCTGCATACTGGGCTGCAATGGGATTGTGCAGCAGATCCCCCATCATTGTAACTTCCAGGCCAAAATTGGCAACACATCCAAGTGTCAAGAGCCCAGTTACAAATCTATTTTTCTGACTCAAAATCCACACTCTGTCATGTAATTGCATAAGTGCTATTTTCTTTGGAATTGGAACCATTTGACATTGACTTACCGATAGAGCAGGAAGGATTGGCAGAGGAGAGTTGGAATTGAGACCAGAACATACTCTGCATTGAACAGTGTTGAGATCCTGGTTAATGCCGCATTATCTCCCCAGTTTATAACAAGCTTTTCATAGACCGCTTGGGCAACTATTGCTAGATGTGCACCATTGCAAGTCCTGTATATATTATGGATCACTCATGCTATATGGGTTATGGAAGTGAAATAGTACCAACCAGACACATCCTACCTAAGAAGCATTTTAGGACATGGCATAAGTTGTTCCTAGAGTGGGCTTACCAAGGCTTTAAGCCATTTTGAGTCCTTCGGAAAGTCGATATAATAGCTATATGCCTGAATTGTAAGGAGACCTTGAAAACTGCATGTCGTGAGAATCGGTGAGATAATCAGAATCCTCAGAGATATTCGAGAATCACTACGTACAACGCCTGACACAGAACAGTAGTAATGAATTAGTGAGATATAAATGGCAAAGGAAATGTTTGTACCTCCAATCAGTACGGCCCCATAGGTTGTATTCACGAGTGTCATAGTGTTAAGTGAGATGTTGGAGGACCGCAGTAAGCCTACATGAATCTTGTACACTATATATACTGTGCTTCAATAAGCCTCCATATCAGCTTCTATGATGTGAGCTTGCTGTCAAGGTACATCGATGAGCAATTTCTTCCCTGATTGGCTTGGAATTCTTAGACGCAGGGCAGGTCTTCCCATAGGGAGTTGCTACTGATATCTCAGTAGTTTGATTTCCGATCCAAGCATGCATCATGATAATGATGATGATATATTCCAGACCATGAGATGTATTCTTCACACTGGTTTCTCACGTCACCATTCAAAACAGTGCCAACTATCGGCCAACCATGATAATAGTCTTTCCACCAGGTTCAGAGGGCTATACAGAGTGAAGCTGCTGCATTGCGATTACCTGCTTGAAAATCTCCAGGGCAGCCACCGGCTGGAAGGCAGGCTGGGCGTCAAATGAGCTCCTAGTTGTATATACAAGAAACAAGTCAAAGCATACCACTTCGTGCCCGGCCGCATACACTCTCGCGAACGAGAAATTGTCCACGTTCTTGATCGCCGCGACGGGCGATCCGGCGATGGTCATGTTTGTGAACGTCGCCGCATTGAGTCGCGCCTTACCATACCAGTCCATCGCCAGGACAGAGGCGTGGCCGCCGAGCCAATTGCAGCTGGGGCGTATTCAGTCAGGCGCAAGAGTGAACTAGGACCCACTTGATATCGGCATCGCCCGCCCATATGAGTATCTTCATCGTCGAGTTTGCGAGCGCGCCGAGCTGCGGAAGCCACGTCCGCGCGTCGTCGCCTGTCTTGGCGAATAGCTCGAATGGCGCATCAGGACACTCCCCGTATGCCACCTCTGCGCCGATGGCAGTGCGCACACTCGCCTGGCCCAGGTATTTGACGTAAAACTCAGGCGGGAACGCGGCCGACGAGTTCTGCCGGAGGTCGTCCGAGTCGCGGTTGCCTACGGCCGGCACAAACAAATTGTCTACACAAAAATTGTCCGCCTTGATGCAGATCGCGTTGGATGCACTCGAGTTGCCCGCGTTGTAGCATGCCGTCTCCTGTGCGAGACAGCCGTTGGCGGAGAAATATGACGTGTTCATTTTGGCGAGCACGCTGTTGCTTTGAAGCTGGCCATATCCCGGCGCGTTTGTCGCGAATTGCAGGTACGCGAGGTTTTGGATGATGGGGTCAAACCAGCCACTGTAAGTACAGTATCAGCCAAGGTACTTATCAGAAAGGGAACAGTACGCACTTGTTAACCATCAATGCGCTCACAACGATAGGAACACCAGTTATTTTCCCCGCCGCAATCGCAGCATTCTGCTGGTTGAAGTAGGTGACGAAAGCAGGGCCATAGTGTCCACCATATGACTCCGTGGCAAAGATAAATCTGGCCTGCTTGTTAACTAGGAAAGAAAAAGGCTGATTACAACGCACTCCCGGCTCTGATACTGCGCAAACTCGCCGCTCTCGAACAGGATTTGGAACGCCTGCCAGAACTGCACGGCGGCGGACTGGGTGCTGTTCACTGTGTCCGTTCCATGTGAGAAGCCCGTGCCGATAGGCTGATCAATATATATCACTGCCCAATGGTAGTCATAGTGGGGGAGTCGGAAGGGACGGCGTACTGTTACTGACGCTATTCCAACTATTGGGGTTGAGCGTCGTCGTCTTGCCGTCCGAATTGACGGTGCAAGGCCCGTTCTCCTGGAAAAGCCCTATCTCCGATGCACAGCCCGGTCCGCCCTGTGTTGAGCCAAGATTACTCGACATCCTCGAAGACAAGTTACGAACGCACATTGATCCACAGCGTAAACGGGGCCGTCTCCGGCGCTGTCCGCGCTGCAAAGAACCAGAACCACTATGTCTCAGGATTAGCAACAAGCAATCCATCGCAAATCGCCCACGCACCATGGACATGCCTGTCCCAATATCGACGTAGCCCGACATCTGGTGCACCCCCGGAGTGGTCTCACATATCCCTGAATTGTTGACGAAGCGGAGGCTGACTGCCTGCTGAAGCTTCGAAGTGAACTTGTGGGAGACGGGGGTAGGGCCGGCGGTGGCGAGGAGGGAGGCGCTGAGCGCGACGACAGCGCTGAAGACGCGCATGGTGGCCAACTGGGAGAGGGTATGAAGGAAAGGGCTGGCTCGAAAGCGCAGTATTTCACGGAAGTCCACCGCATGCTGGTTGCTCGCGAAGCCGCGATAACGGTATTTTTAGAGGCAGCCAGTCGCGAAGGCATGGCAGTCCACATGGTCGTGGAAGAGAATCAAGAGAGGAATCATGACGTGTCACTCGCTTGATTTGGGGCAGATCCGCGCGAAATCGGCTCGTGGGATCACTGACTAGCATCCGGACAAAAATCAGGCACAAATTTGCGGCGTTACCGGCGTGACGTGGCTTCCTTCCCCCACCACTTACATGTCCTCCACTCCCGCGCCCTCCACATCGCTACTCGAGTCCTTCTGGGCATTTGTCGGCGTCGCAAAGTACTCCCTTGTCGTCATTGTTCCTCTGCTTTTCCTCCTCAACCGCTCTCACATTCGCTCGTCCACGCGTGAAAGGATGATCCGCGCACAAGCAGAAGAGGCCGCCCGGGAGGGCGAGAAGGGAGAGAAAAAGACGATTATGCAGCCCGCCAGGACAGACCTTCTCCCGCCCAAAGACGAGCGCTACACGCTTGCGCAGCTGGCAGAATTTGACGGCAAGGATGGGCGGCCAATCTATGTCTCGATAAAAGGTGCGTAGTCGATGCTCCCCATTTGCCTGAATGTTCACGAATATGTTAGGCACCGTCTTCGACGTCACCCGCAACGCTGCTGTCTACGGCCCCGGCCAGTCGTACGCCGTTTTCGCCGCCAAGGACGGCTCCCGTGGCCTCGGAATGTCAAGCTTGAAGGAGGAGGATGCAGTCCCGGACTACAGTGTATTGGATGAGAAGGACCTCAAGGTCTTGAATGACTGGCATTTGTTTTTTGTGTGCGTCCCGCTGCTTCCCCTCTCCCCCCCTTTGCCTGACCCCTGGTATTCAGAAAACGATACAATATTGTGGGCAAGGTGACAGACCACCCCACGATCCTGGCGCAGGAGGCGGCGGCGGCGGCGGAAGCTCAAAACACGTCTTCTTAGACTGCACACCAATTCGTTGTTGTATTCAGTTTCGAAAATAGAATCTCCCTCTCGACATTCTCTTTCGCCGCCCGATACTTAAGCCCCACGAGATGTACCGTAACCTCAAATCAAAAGGTCATTCAGCAACTCCTTGTCCAACCTTGGCCCAACCGCACATTCAAAGTTACGTGGATGACTGCCCACCGTGAGCATGTTGTATTGACCAAATGAAATGAGCACACACCTATCCAGCCCATCGCTCATCTCCCAGACGGGCTCGATCTCATTCCCCTCATCGTCCCGTTTCTTCGCAATCTTGCACGTCGCAAGGACCGTCGCGACAGCAATCCAAATGCTGTTGTCTGCGAAATACCGCCCAACGCAAATTCTGCTAGGAAGCCGTTAAATGTGGAGGCAGGACGAGACGAGGCCCACCGTCGTCCGTAGCCAAAGGCATCGGTGAATCGCGGCTCCGCATCGCCCCCGGGCGCTGGGAGGAATCGCTCGGGCCGGAAGTCCTCGGGGTCGCGATAGACTGCTGTGTCCTTGGATATGCCGCTGGTAGCGGGTCACTCCACCGACAGAGTAAGACTGCAAGCGCATACCGGAGGTTGGCGAAGACGATGGAGCCTCGGGGGATGCGCCACCCACGGTACTGGTCGTCTGCATCTAGCTTGTGGGGAAGACCTAACACCGCATGAGCAACCAGCAGTCTTGAGCTTTTGCTGACCTAGGGGGAGGACAGGCATCCAGCGGTATACTTCTTGCACCAGCGCATTGAGGTATGGCAGGTTCTCTCGATCTGAAAATGTCGGCAGGCGGGAACGGCCAATAACGTTGTCGAGCTCTTGGTGGGCCTTCTCCTGGGCGGCGGGGTACAGCACCATTGCGAGGAGAAATACCATTAGCGTGCTTGCGGTCTGTGTCCAATTTTTTCTGGGTGAATTACTCCAAGCTGATTACGGCATACCGTCGTTTTGCCAGCGGAGAACATAGTCGCCCCCGATCCCTTGAGCTCTTCCATGCTTAGGCGGCCCGTGCCTTCATCCATGCGCTCCAGGTGGTGAAGAAGATATGACGGCGGTGCGGTGCCCGCCATCTACCGCGAAGTCACTCGAAAGTTTCCTTTTGCCATTAAAATTGAGTGCGCACCTTTTCCTTCAAGACGGTGGCGATTGGATACTCAAATATTTGGCGCGTGATGGGTCGAAAACGACGCGCCACGCCGGCGTAGTAAGCACCAGGAAACCAACCGGGGAAGTAGCGCACTAACGAGCTTAGGATTCGATGAAATTCATATGAACGATACCTACGAATAGGTAAATAGTCCACAGGTGTATTCCCCGGAGGGCCAGTCCGGGTGAACGTGTCCGTCACCGCCTCCGCCAGCGGCAGATAGCCGTCGTTGTCCGAGACGATTTCGTGCCCCGCGAGAAGCTGGATGATCACCGTTGTGGAAAAGCTTCCCAACTATCAGCCGAGACGTGCGCAGTGGCAGGGCCCCATTTGAGGTACGCACCGTGCGATCTGCGTCGCAAATCTATCTGTTTTGCTCTCCAGGATATTGCGCGTCAGCCGCCGTGCCGCCCGTGTTTGCACTTCCTGGAACTTCACGCAATTGTTTGCCGTGAGGTACGTCTCGAGGGCCTGGCGGTGCCGGATGAAGGGCTTTCCATACGACAAGAAGCTTAACACCTGCGTCCAGCCAATCCTACAGTCTTGTTGTTAAGCTATAAGATTCAAAATGTCGTCATGCCTGGACGCACAACTCATATAACGGGAACGGCGGCCGCCCACTATAAATGGCGCCGCGCTTCTCGAGCAGATCCGTAGCCGCTTGGTGGGAATTGAGGACGATCAGCGACTTTCGCGGTACGCGGAGATGGACGACGTCGCCTGGCGTAGGCAGCTAAGCCTGCTGCCATCGAGTGAGAAATAGAACATACCGTAGGTGTGTGCCCATTTCCGGAAAACATTGGGCGCTTCTAGGTTTGTGGTGGGCATGATTCGCAGATGCCCGATAAGCGTATCCGCAGGTGGGCCAGGGGGGAGTGGGAGTCCATTTGTCGCCGCTGTGCTCAGGCGGCGGAGCAGCAGCGCGGTGAAGACGACGCTGGCAACGATGATGAGGATGACAGTGGGCAGAGACATGGGGGCGATGAGATTCGTGCTGGGAGCTTAAGACCACTGTGGCGCCACCATAAGTACTAGTAGCCGGGCCGGCATCGCAGGGTGTTCTTGATTCTCGATTCTCGAAGATCTTTGGGAAGGCATGACGATTCAGAGAAGCTCTAGCCCCATCTTCAGATACGGACATTGAACTCACTAGTGGTAATTCTGGTTGCTTGCCATTGAAAGCCATAAACCCCAGTGTCCCAGGGCCAGGGGGTCTAGTGCTGGCCAGAATTATATTCAAATGGTTGATTAAATATTGAATATATTCAGAATATTATGAATATATTAGGTACGGTCAGAGTAGTCCGAACAGCTGTACGAACAAATAGTCCGAATGAAATTTGATGGCAACATGTTCGGACTGTACGAACGTTCGGACGTCAAACCGACTCTTGGAGCCGGTATGCACGTCCGAACGCGAACACACATACGAACGCCGGCCCGCTACGGTGATGCCCCTATCAACCCGGTGCTGTGCAGCCCCTCTCTTTTCTCTTGACCACCATGCCTGGCCGCGGTCGAGGCAGCACTCCCTCCAAGCCACGCAAATCCAGCACCTCACGCAAGTCTAAACACACTCCTATCGTCCAGGAGCCCGTCCCAGTGCCCGCTCAGGCCAAAAAGAAAAAGGTTGAGGTTGAGATGCCTGTTGGTCTTCATGATCCGTGTGTGGCCTGATATCTGTCCCCAGTAGATGCTAACCTGATTATTCTCCAGCTTCAAGGACAAGCCACAGCTTACCACCACCCTCATTGACTCCATCCGCGACAACGACCGGTGGCGCGGTGTCCTGTACCCACTACCCGGTGCCAATCCATCGACTAAAAAGGGTGGTGGTGTCTCGGCAGCAACTGTTCACTGGGAGATTGCCCGGCAGCTCTGGGGCAACGACTATGCAGCCTACATCAACTGGCTTGCAGGGCAGAAGGCAAAACTGAAGGCTATTGTTGGTGACAAGGTTAAAAACCGTCTCAAAGTGTACGCTATTTGCCTTTCTTTCTGTATTTTAACTTATATAGCTATATGCAGACTCAGAACTGAGACAGTCAAGATCCGCTCAGACATGGGCCAGACGGGAGCAGGTAATGAGATGACGCAGGCAGAGCTTGACGAGCTTCCAGAAGATGACAAGCACCGTACCGCATGGGGTCTGTGTGCAGCGTGTCTCTGTCGATTTACTAACGATCTTTCAGGTCAGAAAATTGAAGCCTTCCCGTGGTACTTTGCCATGAACGAGCTCATCGGCACCCGCCCAAACGTCCACCCAGTTGCAATTGGCAACAGCACCACAACCAACTACCTTAGTGTCGAGTCCACTGGCAGTGGCGGCAGCAACACTATCACTGCGACAAGAAACAACAACGAGGTCGATGAGCTGTCATCGGACGATGCCAATGACTCTGACGACCTACGCACACCATCATCAGCCGCTGACCATGGCACGGTCATTACCATTGACGACGACGAAGATGACGACAATGACGACGCTGATGCTGCCACTTCTGCGGACGACGATGATGCACATCTAGGCGATAAACGCAAGAAGAAGGCTGCGAACCCATCCCCTTATACTCTCGCTGACACTGCCCCAACCCGTGCTGGAGTCCCAACCCCAAAGGGAAAGCCTACCGACTTGAACACGATGATCGAGCACGAGAACAAGCTCCAGCGCAGCGCCTTAAAGCTCCAGGCAATCGAGGCGACGGCTGATGTCAGCCGCAACAAGGCCCAAGAGAAAATCGGGACTGCACGTATTATTCGTGAGCAACGCAAGTCGAACAACGATGACTTTTCCCGTCGCATGCAGGCACTTGAGGCTGAGAACAAGTACGGCCGCGATGCTGTCCGCCGCATGTTTCCCGAGTTCTACAAGGATGAGCCAGCGGCAGGCTCATCGTCATCATCACACGAACACGGCACCCACTCATCACCAGCGACATCAATGCAGTCCTTAGACTTCAAATCGACAGGCAGCGATAGTGGGTATGGGTCAACAAATGGGCACAATTTTTACGATACAAGCTATGATCCTACCTCATGGTCTAACTACTCTATCCCTGGCCCACAGTAAAGCATATAGGTAAAAAACTAGTTATATCCGAGCTGCTGTCTACGAGTATGTAAAGAAGCAAGTAGGTAACTCTTTAACTGATTGCGTTTTGCCTTGCCAGCTGCAAGACGTGCCCGATTGCCTGCTGCTGTGGTCTCCAGTTCTAACTGATGTGCGCTCTCAGTGTTCGCTTGCTGACGGTTACGAATGTGGGCTGGAATGAATGGATCGTTTTCGGCTGAGGTGTAGTTGGGGTTTGTTGGTCGTTTGGCACGTAGTTTGGCTTCGTGAAGAAGCACAAAGTTGTGGACGACAACACAGGCCATAATCCACTGTGTCGCATAGATGTGGTCAGCCTCGTTGTTGATCGTCAAGCGGAGGCCCTTCAAGGACTGAAGTCGGCCCTTCACAAACCCAATACAGTGCTCGGATTTGACGCGGACATAGGAAACGTGGTTGTTGAAGGTAGTGTTATCTGGGGTTTCCTTTTCGGGACCCTTAATCGGTGCTGAGAGCCAACGAGAGAGAGAGGGTATGCTGCATCGCCCCAAATAAACTCTCCTTCAAGAAGGAGAGTCGAGAGCTCTCGGTACACGCGTGTGCCGGTCCAGGCGGTTGCGTCGTGTGTGCTGCCAACATAGCCATAACCGATGTCGATGATTTGGAGGTTCGGTAAGTTCACGACCTGTTAATTAGTGTAAGTTGCGGTACTGAAAAGATTTCTAACGCAAACCTGGAGATTCATCGAATAGTTCATTTTGCGGTCGGAAGTAGCTAGGCCCAAACCAATTCGGACGCGAGGCCAGTGGAATTAGAGTCCCATCGACCATGCACCATCCGTTGCCCCACTCACGACATCCAGACGTCTTCTCGACCCATGTCTTTGCATCTGCCTTCTCTGCTGCAGTTGGCATGCGGACATACTTCGCAAGCATCCCGCTGCCGAGTATGGCTGTGATAACACGACGCGTGCAACGCGGAATCGTACCCTTGCCCAGTCCCGACCACCAAGAGACCGCCTGGAGGGATGCGCCATTCCCATCATGCCCAAACTGGTACAGGGCGACAGCCAGCTGAATCTCAACAGGTGTCTGGCCGTTATTTGAGTTGTTGGTGAAAATTGGATGACCTTCAATCTTTCGGACAAGTTTATCGAAGGTTGTCGGCCAGACTCGAAGCTCGCCGCGGAAAGAAACCTTGTCTCGGTGTTTCCACTTCTTAAGACATGTCTCCATCGTCGATTCCCGGGGCCGTTCGAGGCGATTTCGGGGCACATTGTAGCGTTGAGAGTACATCTCGTCGATCTGGTGCTGCACCCAGCTGAGAACACGCGAGGAGGCGGGCGGAACACGTCGTTGTCGACGAGGAATGTGGAGCGAGTCGTGGCGGAGCTCAAATGAGTCCACACTTGAGTTGCTGGATTCAGATTCTGACTCGGAGCTACTGCCATCCGAGGATGAGTCGTCTGATATGTCGGCTAGGTCGAGAGGAGAAGGGCAGGCTCGGCGGGGGCAGACCCAGTGAAAGGCGCGTCAGATTTTGCAGACATGCCCTAGACAGTCCCAAGGCCCAGAAGCGCCGGTGGCGGCGCATGCGAAGCCGCTGGCGACTGAGCATATAGTCTTTGGCCGCTTTGACGAGCTCTGCAGCTCGCCCGCGGCGGGAATCAGCCCGCCCCATGGCGGCGGGACACGAGAGAAAGGAGTCACACGCGTTAGCTCGGCGACACGCCGAATATCTTGCCCGCTGGCACCATAGTCTGTTTGGATATGTATTTGGACGCATTCGGATGGTGGTCAAAGTTGAGGAACAAAAGTGTATCCGAATACATGCTTGTTTGTACAAATCATTCGGACATCGTTTGGATGCCGTTCGACGCCGTTCGGACTACTCTGACCGTACCTATTATGCCCTTGGTTGATCACTTGAACATGAATATGTTTGAATATATTATGTTATGTTATAACGAAGTATACAATATTATAGGAACGGAATATTCAAACATAAGAGGATCACAGCTATTTTCCCAGGCCATATACTCACTAATGGTACTAATCTTAGTCTGATCTAGCCCTACTTCTGATAAATATTATATATGATCTATTAGGGACGGTCACGGTTAGCAGGTAGGTTGGTCGGTTGGTTGGTTCGGCGGGTGCGGCAGCCTGGATCCCATCAAAGCAATCTCTCCCGTGCTGTCACGCACTATACCCACCTTGTCCTTTGTTGTAGGTAGATAGTGTAGCTACATCTCTGCATCGGCATTTGTTCTAGTGTTGACTAAGATCAAAATAGTTTGATTCGGAATCTGTCTGTTATCTGATCACATTTCTTTCTCTCCGCATCCACTCCAATGCCTATTCCAACACATCGGGAGACTATTCGGCGGGCCATTCTCTATCAGTTCCAACTCAGACTTCTCTGCTTGACTGCCCGGAATGCCTCTGCTAATGATGGCAATGATTCTGAGTCTGATGATTCTGGGGCTGACTCGGATGTGTCAATCTCTGATTCTACGAGCAGTACTACATCGAGCACCGATTCAGGCCACCTACTGGCTACCATGTTGCACACCCTCCAAGCTTTATTGGACACGTCATCAATGCTCAATCGGCTTGCGAGCACACGCGCTACCTCCGGCCCCGCCATGAGGTGATCAAGTTCAGCCAGTTCCAGCTCTTGACTGCCTTCTCGCAGAGTGCTGAAGACCTCCATAACTTTGTCAACATTGTCCGCATCTCTCCATTCGTATTTGCGTCAATTGTCACTATGATCGAGAACGATCCTGTCTTCCAGAACAACTCACAGAATGAACAAACCCCTGTGGATAAGCAGCTTGCTGTTACACTCTACCGAATGGGGCGCTATGGGAATGGTGGTTCTGTTGATGATGTCGCCCGATTTGCTGGAGTTGGACATGGCTCAGTAACACTCTTCACTAGTCGTTGCTTTGATGCAATCGAGCGACTTCATCCTCTCTTTGTTCGGGCACTTTCAAGAGAGGAGAAAGAGCAAGAAAAATGTTGGATTGACCGACATATTGGGTACCGCTCCTCATGGCGGGAGGGGTATCTAATGTACGATGGGACGATTGTGCCATTATGCGAAAAGCCGGCATTAAACGGTCAAGCATACTTTACCCGAAAGAGTAACTATGGGCTCAATGTACAGGTATGTCATTGCTATCTTCATTGATCAAGCTAGCTGATATTATAAATAGATCGGAAATGTTCCATCTAATCTTCGAATTATTGACTACTCACATGGATTCACGGGATCGGCTCATGATTCCTCCGCATTTGAATATACCACTGCTCGAAAACATCCGGAACTTCTTTTCGAAGGAGACGAGCATGGCTTTGGGGACTCTGCCTATGCTCTCTCCGAATATATGATCCCAATGTTCCGCAGCCCAGCCCGCCCGACCTGGCTGTCAATCACCTTTTCTGTGCAACATTATCCGCTCTCCGAGTTCGATCCGAGCATTGCATGGGAGCTATCAAAGGTCGCTGGCAATGTCTCAAGGGACTACGAACAAGTATTGCCAAAAAGCGTCATCATGTTGAGGCCTGCCGTTGGGTCACTATTGCCATTATACTGCATAATATTGTGGTGGAGCTGGAAGGGATTGGGGAGAGTGACACATTTATCAACCATGGAAGAGCATGATGGTGATGATATGCCTATGCAGAATGATATGGCAGAGGGTGAGGCAAAGCGTCAACGGCTAGTCGCCGAAATCAATGCTATTCGTGGTCGCTAGTTAATTATTCAACTGCATCTGTTACAAAAAATATACAAGAAGTAGACGATTAAAAGGTGTATAGAGTAATTTGTAAAATTCAGAAACCTATTCTTCAGGAGCAGCTTGGAGCTCCGCAAGCTTCTCCTGATACTCGGCAATAGTCCAAATCCCTTTCTGGATAGATATTAGCACTTGGTCCGAGCATCAGAAGAGTCGTACCTGAAATTCTTCTAAGAGCATCCGCCGCTCCTTGAGCAACAGTGAACGGTTCTGCATATCAAGTTTTCGGCGTTTATGCGCCTGCGCTTCATTGTTCTGCTGTTGAAATGAAGTCATAGTCGCCTTCGTAAGCTCGATCATTTCGTCCTCGAACCCCCTTCTTCGGAACAGCCTGGAATGAGCTCTGGGGTCGAATGAGAGTACTTGGACGAGGGCCAGTACGAGAAGCAGTTGACGTCAAAGAAGAAGGTGTCGGAGTTGTTGGAACCACTTGTGAGCCGAGCGCCTTATTCGTAACTTCAGTCAGCATCTGCTCCGGTGTGCGAATAGAAGGGGAGGCAGTTGACCCAAGCTTCATGTGAGGTGGAAGCAGTGAATCATCCTGTGAATTGCCGCCAAAATCAAGTGGGGGAGGATAGTCAAGCGAATCACTAGAAGGCGATTCGAAGTCTTCCAACGAGTAAGGAAGAGGCTGTGATGGATCCCAACCACGAAGAGCAGGGTCTTGAGACCATGATGGTTGCAACTGTGACTCAGTCGATTGTGGCCACTGAATGGTAGGAGGGGATACAGGGAGTTGAGCAGCCATAGTCTTCGTTTTTTGCGTAGAATCAATCTGAATGAGTGTCGTTTTGTGACGGCCAGCGGGTGTAAGTGCTGTTGTGGCACAAATGGGGACAAGGTTTGGGCGTGTGGACCAGAGCCGATAGAGTGCCGGAAAGAAGGGAAACTCCTTGGTAATTGCGTCCCAGATGTTTTGTGCATCATCGGGGGTGTCGTGGTGAGGCCCGTCTGCTTCAATATAATGCCATTCGGCGTCACCTTCAGTGAGGCCTTCCCCAGTCTTCTTGAGACGCTGCATTTTCGTTTTGAACTGGGTGGTAAGGCTTCCAGTAGGTTGTTTCAGCGATAGAAAGGCACCAGGAAACAGCACATACGCATCAATTTTCCTCTTCACGCGGCCAGCACCCTCTCTACCCGACAGGCCCAGCTCTTCGGCCATTCGCTTGTGGACAGTGTTTTTAGAGTCGCCCGAAGTGTTCTGCACCAGTGCCAGTCAGTATTGACGCGTATTCTTGCAGTTACCATAGGACATACCTCGCCCGGCTCCTTCCCAAAGAGAACCTTGAAGTTCTCAGGCTTTGCCATCACTGCGATGAGCGCGTTCGTCTCATCAACGGACCAGGTGTTATTGCCCATGCACAAGAAGGTACAAGATGTAGAGAGAGTGTGACTAAACTAGTGACTCGTCGCGTCTCCTTGATGGGATCCAGGCTGCCGCACCCGCCGAACCAACCAACCGACCAACCTACCTGCTAACCGTGACCGTCCCTATTATATATGATGATTTCATAAGAAAAATGTTATTCTAATAGGAACAAGTTTCAACAGTGATCATTTTAGGATGAATCTATTGAACATAGTGTAGGAGTTGCGAACATTTTAGCAATGTCACGCGGATGCACAGCATCCAAAAAGGAAATTCCGGCATGTGACAGCGCCCTGGATCATATAAGTGAACCTTTTTTGGCGCAAATAGAGGTATAAAAAAAATCTTTTTTTGGTACATTGATTTTAGCCATATAATTGATCGAAATGGGGGCCGTTTATTCCCGAACTCCTGCAGTGCATAGCCTTGACATTGCCCTATGACACCATATGACTCGATTGACTCATAGCATAGCCACTCTGTACACGTATATAAGGCAGCCATTGTAGTAGGTAACAGGAAGAATCCCATCGCAGTTTTGACCCACTTTTGATGGATTGATCCAGCGCTGATGCGTCCTGCCTTTTGGAACATTGCACTCTTTGGATGTTGCAACCCAACTTGGAACAATGCTGGTCTTTGGAGACTGTGCTGTTGATGCTCATGCTGCTCTCAAACATAACAAGGGAAACAGGGAGAACCTCAAGAAAACTATGGTTTTGGAGTATCTTTGGACTCAAGAGATTTAGACAGAAGATTAAAGGTATGTTTTATGTTTTTCTAGATTGGTGTTGTTGGTGGATGTTTGGTGTGTTGTTGTTTGTGTTTGATGATGTTGGTGACATCATGTCACACTTTGATCAGGTCTTTGATCATTACCTATGTGATCTTGGATTTAGCTATTTTTCTATGTTTGTCTTGGTTGCAGCAGGCATATACTGTGTCTGGAGCCCTGACCTCACCCGCTATGTGCCAGTTGTGTGTAGTGTTTTGGGTTTATTTCCCATTTTCACACATGCTCTTGGCCACCGCACATTAGCACCAATTCCAGTCCGATTCCAATTCCAGTGATCACACCACCCCTCCATCAGTTGCATCACCACCCCACCCTAGCGATCCACCCTTGTATTAAAACAATCAGCTTCATTGTGTACTAATGTATCACTCAACGGTGCTGTGTCAGTACTATTCATGTTGCCAGTCATTTCAGGGTGGTACATCAAGTAGAAAGAAATTCTAGTACTTACTGTAGCCTAAGAATCATAGAGACCCTTTAATTCCACATCTCCTTTGACATTCACTGTTCAAGGGCTGGATGGACCAATAATTGTAATCTACCAGTTGGATAGAGTCATTTACAAGTCTAACCCTAGAATCCTGCCTTTCCCATTTAAACTGCCACTTTGTAATCCGTATACCCAATAGCAGGGTCGACGCCTTCCGCGCCATAGAGATGCGCGAAATCAGGTGTATTGTCCAGTGGCTTGCCCTGCTCGATGCGCCGCGTAAGGTCGGGGTGCGTCAGCCAATGCAGTCCGAAGAATACGCCCTTGACGACGCCCGTGCCGTCCCCGACATACGCCTCCGCATCCGCGACCTGGAGCGCAGAGTTGACGAACAGCAGAGAACGTGTGACGTAGCCCTTGAGCGCCTCGACAACGTCGAACTGCGTTGCGCGGAGCTTGCCGTCGAGCTCGACGTCCAGGAAAGGATTGTAGCGCGCAAGGACGACGGAAGAGAGGGGGTTGGGGAGCTGGTCGATTTGCGTGAGGAGGTATCCGAATGTGTCGAGCGTTTCGTCGAGCGGCATGCCCATGTCGTTGTACCCGCCCGTGGGGCTGAGTTTGATGGAGACGTCCTGCGGGTAGACCTCTTGCAGCGCGGCGAGTGCCTCTAGGATGAACCGTGAGCGATTGGCAGCGGAGCCGCCGTATGAGTCGGTGCGCTTGTTTGAAGTCGAGTCAAGGAATTGGTTGGGGAGGTAACCATTGGCAGCGTGGACTGAGGAGGAGTCAACATCTGAGGCCAAAGACACGAAGTTGTCACGAACGTTCGACACCGTCGAAGCCCGCTGCTTTGGCGTTGACACCTGCCTGCTTGAAGAGCGCAATGATCGTCTTGGGGTCGGGGAGCTCCGTTGGCTGCCATATGTGAGACAAGTAACTGGAGTCATTGAAGCTTACTGTCACATAACCGGGTGAGCCCGGGAGGAATCTAAACTTTCCGCCCCGAGCAGCAATCGGCGAGGGTCCGTAAACCGGAACGCCAGCAGCAATCTGTTGCGGAGCGTCGGGATGGCTGACACGGCCAAGATGCCAAAGCTTTATGGACGCGGTCAGTAAGATGTATTGTTCGGCGGCGATAACGCTTACTTGTGCGTAGATCTTGCTGCCTCGCGCATGCACGGCGTCGATAATCTTCTTCCATCCATCGATATGCGCGGGAAGACGAGGTCTGTTTGCAGGCGAGGCCTGTCGAAATGTCGTCTCTCGCGAGGTCTCTGTGCGTTATTCATCGGTCGCGGTACGGCGCGCGATCGGCTGCGGCGCCGCACGCCCTCACGTCACACATAATAAAAACTTTCACATGTCAAATCATACCCCCCCTTGCACGCCGCGCTCCAACGCTAAGTCGCGCTCGCTCGCCAAGTCGCGCGAGCGAGAGCGTACTCTAATATACCCTGCTGGCTCGCGCACGGACCTCTAGAAAGTCACGAGGTAATTCTAGTGGGGACGAAAATTTGGATTCTGAGGGCTATTTTGGCCAAGTCTGGCGCGTGCATGGGGGTCTTTGACAGAGTCCGTTCTCGGGCATTCCGGGCAGGTATTGGTAGAGTATATACGAGAGTAATGGGACTGGGACTGGGACAATGGGACTCGAGTCCCACTTTTCCTGGTCCCAGTCCCATTCCCGAAGCCCCGGAGTGGGACTCGGTTACGACAAATCACCCTAGTTGATGGATCGACATGGGTCGCATCAACTGGGTTGGGGGTTTTCCACCCTGGACCCCGACCAGGGCGTCGCCCTGGACCCACCCTGCCGGGGGCTTCCGCTCGCCGCTAGGCCCGCTGCGCGGAGCGTGACATCTCTTTCCGGTGTCTTTTGTCCTATTTTACTTGGTAAACATGTGAACTTTTGACAGGGTGGCGGCGCCGGCCGCGACGGCCGGGGTTTCCCACCCCGGACCCCGACCAGGGCTTCGCCCCGGACCCCACGCTGCCGCGGGCTGCCGCTCGCCACGGAGGCCCGCTGCGCGGCGCTTCTTTTATGTTTTTTTGATTGATTACCGATGCTGATTGCTTTTCTCGTGCTCGGCTACGCGCTCTTGGCGCCGTGGCAATGGGACTCGCCCCATCAAAGTGGGACTGGGCCCATCAACGTGGGACTCAGTCCCATTTGACGAGTCCCAGTCCCACTATTCTCGTCACTCCTCGTATTGGTAGGCAAACTTCGTGTATCTGGCTAAGTACGAGACACGCTAATTAAGACGCGTTCGACGCGTTTGATCGCGTCAAAACGGGGGCGTGCAAGACAAGTCCATCCCGCTGCACCATCCCACGCAGGCGCGCGTATCTCACTTCCCTCCAAT